AAAGAAAGAAAAAATAATAATTAAGCTACACTCTTACATAATACAAAAACAAAACAATCAATTCTAAATGGATTAAAGACTTTAACATAAGACCAGAAACTGTAAAGCTCCTAGAAGTAAATATAAGAGAAATCTTCATGACATTGTTCTTTGCAATAACTTCATGATACCAAAAGCACAGGAAACAAAAGCAAAAATAGTAAGTAGAACATAAACTAAAAATCTCTGTAGCAAAGAAAGTAAAGGAGTGAGAGGTAACCCATTAAATGGGAAAATATATTTTCAAACTATATGTCTGACAGGGGTTAATTTTTAAAATATATAAGAAACTGCTAGAGGCTAGCAGGTGGCATAGTGGTTAAGGTGTTGAACTCCCACATGGCCTACTGCAGTTCGAGTCCTGGACCTGGTAACTTGGTTTCTCACATTCATTCTCTCTCTCTCTCGTGAATGCACATGCCATATGGCAAATTAAAAGATAATAATAATAGGTACCAGCAGGTGGCATGGTGGTTAAGGCACTGGACTCCCACATGGCTGACTGTGGTTTGAGTCCTGGACTTGGCAACTTGCTTTTGCATTCCCTCTCTTTCTCTCTCTAGTCAGCTTGAATAATACTAATTAATAAATAAAATAAAATAAAATAAATAATTATTAAAAAATTAAAAAGTAAATAATAATAAATAAAAATTTAAAATACTCCTATAACTCAATAGCAAAAAATGAAAATTTTAAAAAAATTGAAAAGGAGCAACTCAACTTGAAAATGGGCAGAGGTCTCAAATAAAAATATTTCAAAAAAATACATACAAATGGCCAATAAATAAATTAAGATAGGCCAAAATTACTAATAATTAGAGAAATGCAAATTAAAAACCATGATGAAATATAACCTCACACCAGTTAGGGTGGTCTTGGGCAAAAACACAAAAAGTTACAAGTTCTGGCAAGAATGTAGAGAAATTGGAAGCCTTGTACATTGTTCATTGGAATGTAAAATGGTGCCACTACTGTGAAAAACAGTATGGAGTTTTCTTAAGAAATTAAACTACTGGGACAAGCAGATGACATAATGGTTACATCGCTTGACTTCCACATAGTTGACCACAGTTCAAGTCCCCATCCCAGCAGCTTAAAACTCAACGCCAAGTGTGTGTGCGTGCATG